CTCCCCTCGCTGTCGTGGGCGGGGCAGGGGTGGGGCAGGGGTGGAGGCGCGGACTGCTGCGCGAGGCAGCCGCCCCGCGTTGCGGCCACCGCCCTGGCCGCGAGGGCCGCCCGCCCGAGGGGCGGGGGGCACGTGGCCGCCGCCGCCGCCGCGCCGCGCCGCCGCCGCGTGCTGCGCTTGGTGTCTGGAAGCTGCCGCGCCGTGCCCCGCCCTGGGAGGAGGAGGAGGAGGTGGAAGAGGGAGGGAGGAGGAGGAGGAGGAGGAAGAGAAAGAGGAAGAGGAGGCGGAGGAGACAATACTACTAGTACTAATAATGCTTTTGCTACTGGGAAGATTTTGCACCTTAATCATGCACGCTAGTGAATATACTAATATTAGTACTTTTAATATTGCCACGAACACGAGTAATAACGACAATACTGATATTACGAACATTAATGTACTAGTGATACTCAGATTGGTAAGCCGAATAATCCAAATGCTGATAAAGCGACTACTATCCGTACGACACAGACGGATCATATGAGTAATCATCTTGATAATGCAAAAAATATCCAGCGTACCGTACGAATGATGAGGCGATTGCGAATGATAACACGAGTAATGCGCATGCTACTAGTATTAGCATTATTAGTAATCGCAGCACTACGACCAGCAATATTCATTTCAGTGCTACTAATGATGGTACTCATAACAACAACTAAGGAGAAGGACGTAGACGACGAAGCATACACATATTAATGCTACTCATAATCAAACATACGTATACGAATACTATTACTACTAGAAGAAGACGAATACTACGATGAAGAAATAGACGACGAACACGAACAGTAAGACGATTAAAGCCGGAGAACACGTATACCAATCCTAATGACAATATGACGAGCATATTAATGATCATAATCATCATTTTGTGCTAAACAATACGAATACTCGTTTTAATACTGATAAGAATACGGTGGCCAGTCATGCTAAGACGAATTCGAATACTACTAACATCAGTACAACTCTGACCAATAATAACACTAAGTGTACGGATATTAGAACAATTTCCATACTACTACTAATAATACTACTAATAATAATAGTATTAATAATAATACTACTACTAATAATAATAATAATAATAATAATAATAATAATAATAATAATAATAATAATGCTACTAATCATCTTAGCCATAACGTTAATACAACTAATACTGATACGAATCGTCACCATAATACGAATAATCACACGAATACTAATAATAAGAAAAAGAAGAGGAGGCGGAGGAGGACGAGGAGGAGGAGGAGGAGGAGGAGGAGGAGGAGGAGGAGAAGAGAGTGCTCCCTTCTCCCTCCCCCCTCCGCGGTAACCCTCTGCCCCCCCCTTGTCTGGCATGCGGGATAATTCGCCACTCCGCAGCCCCGGACTTGCTCCACGCGCGAGTGGATCGTCTCTGCCGCGCCGCGACGGAACAGATTTTTGGCGGTCCCAGGCCCCGGGAAAGGCCCCCACAGGCCGAAAACGACGAACAATCTCCGTCCTGATTTTCTCAAGACGTTGCATGCCTGGGTCCTCCGTACCCAGAGGACGGCCTTCCGCCCCCTCGCGAGGCGCCCGCGTACATCCTCGGCACGGACGGCCACGAGGGCGATCGGGCCGCTGCGGCGGCTGCGGCTGCGCATCAGGCCAGCCCACTTGGCAGGCATCACGTCAGGCACGACTTTAGGCCTCCCAGACGGGGTCGGACGGGTCGGAGGATCGCGCCGCATCGCCGAAGCATCGACGATGCAGCTCGATGTGGAGCCAGAATTTCTCCACGCCGATGGCGCCGATGCATCGCCGACGTTGGCGATGCATCGCCGATTTATCGGCGATGTGTCGCCGATGCATCGCCGATGCGGCGAGATCCTCCGACCCCATCTACTTCGGCCCCATCCGGGAAGCCTCTAACTACGAGGGTACCAACTAGAGGTGGTAGAGCTCGAGCTCGAAGCTGGCTGGGGCGCTGAGGTGTCAACTACAGTCAGGGACAACATTAGGGGGGAATAGGCGCAGGGGGAATGTATCGACCCCCAATCGCCCACGCATCGCCAACCCCCAATTGGCCTGATAGCCCACCCCGCACAAGAACGTCTGGATTCGCTATCGGCGGTCTATCGCCAATCAATCGGCGATGTGTCGCCGATTCCAGCTCGATGTTCCCCCCTGGAGGCGGCTGGGGGGCTGAGGTGGCCCAGCACTGGTTCCAGCCAGCCAGCAGGAAGGGGGGAGGAGGTTCGAGGCTCTGGTTTGGAGAAGGTGTTCTGTTCGTTGCCTCTTGCTATTTCCCGGGCCGTTTTCGGGCCCCAGGGCCGTCAATGACGAATCTTGGGTGAAACATTGTACCAGATGGACCCCCCAAGAGGGGTCAGGGGACAGACTTTAGCATCTTGTGCATCAGCGACAACAAGTGATTGCATGTTCTGCATCCTCTCAACAAGTATGCGCTTGTCGGCGCCTGCTTTCAACTATAACCGCATGCCGATGATAATAAAGGGACCCCCCCCCTTCAGTGTTTAGAGTTGATTATCGTCGCCCTATACAAAATTCAAATTGGGCGGCGAGCGCTGAGGCCGAACTTCATTATCACCTCGAAACGCTATGTTGAGATAGCAACATCAAGCGATGTTGATATAGCAACATCAAGCGAAGCGATCACACTTTTTCAGGATGTGTCAAGCGAAACCAATAATTTTGGGAGGCAGACTCAAACGAAACGAGCAATGTTCTTATTATTCTTCTACTTTCCTCTGTCCTCACGCTCGCCTGAACTTTTTTATCCCTGGGGTTGATTATCCATGGAAAATGAAGCACATGAGCTACCCTACACGAGCACTGCGTGCTCTGACTCGTTTTCCTAAGTGCGAGTGGCCTCCAGAGCAGTGGAGCCGCGTCCGTCTCGTTCGCTGCTCCTGCTGCTGCTCTCTCCCTCTGCTCCGAAACCGCTCCTGCTCAAACTCTATCATTCGAAGGGCCCCCGGCAGCGCATGGTGGTGCCGTGGGCCGCAGCTGGCCCGTGGGCGGCCTCCATCGCGACCGCGTGGCTCTCCCGCTGTCCCGCGTGCCCGGAGGCCCGCGTGACGTGCGGGGCCTGCCCCGCGTGCCCTCCGGCGGCGGCCGCCGCCCCCTGCCCGGGCTGCCCGAGCTGCCCGGACTGCAGTCTGACCTGCGGGACCGGGCCAGGCTGGTGGGCGGTCCTTGCCGCCCTGGCTGCTGGCCTCGCGGCCGGTGGCAGCTTCCGCGTGGCGCTGGGCTGGGCCGCCCGAGCCGCCTCGCTCTTCGTCGGCGGGACCGACCCGCCGCGGCGCGAGGGTGCGGCGCCCGTGACCCTGCTCGTCGAGGACGACGGAGCGGGCCAGGACGGCGGCGCGCAGCGCCGCTTTCGGGCAGTGCGAGCGTAGCCTGATCGTCGGCCGTCGGCAGGATGGCGGCGGCGGCGATGCGCACGCTCGACGTGCCCGAAGCGCAGGTGTGCGTGAACTACGACGACGACGACAACTTCCGGTGGCACCACAGGGTGCTCCTCGAGCAGCTCAGCCCTGGCATCTGGGTGGCGGCGACTCCCGACGGCAGGGTGCTGACGCTGGACCTCAGCAAGCACCTGGTCGTCCCCCTGCGCCGGGCGTCCGCGTTCCCGGTCCGGGTTCGTGGGCAGGTCTACGCGTTCGGCGACCAGTCGGACGAGGACATCGAGGCGCTGCGCGTGGAGGCGCGTGGCCTCGCCCTGGTCATGGGCGTCGCTGCCCCAGCTGGGACTGCTGGCGGCGTCGTGCCTCGCTGGATCGTCTCGGACCCAGGCTCGCCCGAGTTCGGGCGCGAGCTGGACCTCCACCTCATCGGGAACCCGGAGCGGCTGATCAGCCGCGACGCGGTGGGCATCGCGATGCTCAGCGAGGAGGAGGGCTGGGTCTCGGTCGAGAACGCGCAGCAGGCCGACGAGGAGGACTGGCGCGCCGAGAAGCGCCGAGGCCCGGGGCGGGACCCGCGGATCCTCCCGCTGGCGCGGCGGGGTCGCGGGCTCCAGGTGACGCTCGGGGAGGCGATCGCGAAGATGAACGCGGTCGACTTCGACGACTGGCCCTTTCGGGGGCCGAAGGCCCTGCCCGAGCTGCTGGCCGCCATCCTCGCCACCGGGCTGACCCTCACGTCCTACTGGGGGTACTGGGTCTCGGAGTCGGGGGTGTCGCGGAACGCCGCGGTGGCCCAGGAGGTGCGGCACGCGCTGCACCAGCTGCACCACGCCGTGACCTACGACCTCGTCGACCCGTCGAACCTGGCGTCTCTGGAGCTCCTGGGGCGCCGGGTGCTGCAGATCCAGCGGGCGGTGAAGAGGTGCCCGCGCCACCCGAGCTTCGAGGGCCTCGGCCTGATGCTGAGCAGCTCCTTGGACGAGAGCGGAGGCGTCGTGACGTCGAAGTTCGACGCGTTCGTGGCCGAGGAGCAGAAGTCGCAGGGCATCATTCTGAAGCAGGAGCGGATGTACCGGGAGGAGCAGGAGTCGGAGGCGAAGAAGTACGAGAGGCAGGGCGACGACAGGGAGACCCCAAGGCGGATCTGAAGGGCAAGGCAAAGCCGAAGCCCAAGGCCGCCGCGAAGGATCAGGGTTGACGGCGCCATGTCGGCGCCATCATGGCTGGGCACTCCGCCCGGCCTCACTGGGCCTGGCCCTGACTCCGCAGCCGCGAATGCGAGTCGGGCCGGGCTGCCCTCCGAGGGGGTCTCCTCCGAGGGTCGGACTTCGTCCACAGTTTTGTTTCCTCTGCCGCAGGGCGACGAGTTCTATCGCCACCCTCATCGTGGAGAACGTGCCGCTCTGCCTCGGTATCTGGCCCAGCGTGCTGCTCGTGCTGACGACCGTGATCGCAGGTCTCTCGAGACTCTGGGTGCGCTCAACGCGCTGGCAGGCGCACGGGCTGGGGGGCGTCTCGAGCCTCGAGCGCCCGGCAAGCATCGGCCGACTACCGCCCAGGAGTCGGTCATCAAGCGAGTCCGACGTCGTGTTCGCGGCTTCGGCGACCGACCGAAAGACATGGACTGTGCTGGAGCCCTGCAGGAGCTCCTCAAGTGCAAGGATCTGTACTCGAACATGGGCGAGGCTTCTACTCGCCGCGACTATGATGCTGACAAGCTCAATGTGTTACGACGTGCGCCACATGACCGGCCTCGTCAGCTTCCAGACGTTGCCCCTCGGCACGTCACCGAGGCGCTGGACCACTTCAACTCGGACGTCGTTCGCCCCGCGCCGAACATCCCCGAGGACGAGGTCATCGTGGAGCCTTACTGGGACCCTCTCCTCAACCCGCGCGACCCTCGGAACCGACCACGCCTCGTCGACTTCCTTCGACGACTCGCTGCACGGGGCCTGGTGGATGGCCGGGCGCGTCGGAAGGCGTGCGTCAGTACCTTCTTCGTCGCCAAGAAGAACGGCGACATGCGCATGGTCGTGGGCGCTCGCCAGCCCAACCAGCTGCACAGGCTCCCCCCTCGGACTGTGCTGGCATCCGGTGAGGCGCTGGGCTCGATCAACTTGCTCGACGCCGCCGGCGCGAGCCCCGAGGACTTGGCGGATTTCGACGGCTGCTACGAGTCGCTCTGCGCAGGCTCCGTGGACCTCATGGACGGGTTCTACCAGTTCGCCGACCCCTCGTGGGGCAGCTGGATGTGCTTCGACGTGGAGGTCACCGCGGACGAGCTCGGGCTCGACTCGATCTACGACGAGAAGCTCGGGCGCCGCGTGGCCGTGTCAGGCGACGACGTCATCTGGCCCTGCTTCGCGGCGTTGCCCATGGGCTGGAGCTGGGCGCTCTGGATCTGCCACGAGGTTCTCGTCGACGCGATGGACGAGGCGGGCCTCCCAGGCGACGGCTGGTGCCTTGACAAAGCCCGTGCGCCGACTCTCGTCGGACAGGGTGTCGTCAGGGCGCCGTGCGTCGACAACGGGAATCTTGTCGCGCTCAGCGCGCCGGCGCTCAACGACCGGCTGGACAAGCTCACTGCTGAACTGGATCGTCGTGGGCTTCGCTGGCACGAGCTCGAGCGCGCGCAGCCCGGCCTTGTCGTCTTGGGGCTGGTGCTCGACGGGCGCGAGGGCCGACTCAGGCATACCGCCAAGCGCGCCTGGAGGCTCTACCTGGCTCTGCACCACGTGCTTCGGACGCCATGGCTCGCCCGCTGGCAGCTGCGGCGAATCGTCGGCCACCTGGTGCACTACTTCTCCGTCGTGCGCCCCGGGCTCAGCGTGCTGGGGTCCTGCTACACGTTCATCGGAGACGGCGACCTGTCCCCTGTCGTGCGGTTGCCTGGAGATGTTCTCGGTGAGCTCGCAGTTGCTGCAGGCCTCGTCTTCCTCGGCGAAGTGGACCTGTGCCGCGTGCCGTCCGACGTCGCCTTCACGACCGACAGCTCGCTGCGAGGCTACGCCGTCTGCGAAGCCCGACTGGAGCCCTGGGAGGTACTGGCGGCCACCAGATGGCGCGAGCGCCAGCGGTTCGTCGCCACCGAGCCCGAGGTCGCGCCCGACGACGAGCAGTACGAAGGGCGGGCCGCCGGCTTTTGCGACATCTCCGGGCCACTGCCCGTCGAGCTGCCGCCCCGGCTGCGGCGCGCCGTGGCCAAGAGGCGCCGGGTCGAGTTGGAGATCGGGGTCCCGCCCGAGCCGTTGGCGGCCGCTCTGCTGGACGCTGGTCGCTGGGTGGAGCGCCGCCGTGGCGCGTGGCGCCGGCCTGGCCGTATTCACGCCCTCGAGGCGCGCGCCGCCGTCGCACCGCTATGGAGAGCGGCAGGCGACGTCAACTTCCACGGGAAGGAGATCCTCAGTCTGTGCGACAACATGTCGTCGGTCCTCGCCTTTGAGAAGGGCAGGGCCACCAATTTCGAGCTCCTGGCGCAGTGCCGCCGGGTTGCGGCCGTCTGCTTCGGGTGCGAGATCCGCTGGCGCCCGAGGCGCGTGCCAGGCATCTACAACGTCGCGGACCACGGGAGCCGGGCGGCTGACCGAGGTGAGCTCCTCGCCGGACGCTACCGCGGACGAGGCGCCCTGTCGGCGCCCACCAGCGGCAGCCGCCGAATTCCCGTGGTCCCGCCAGCCGCGGGCCGGGCCAAGGCCCCGCCGACCGCGGCTACCGAGTTTGAGATCGGACGAGAGCAGGCCGAGTTGCTGGGGCCTGAAAACACCGAAAGAGACCGTTGCATTCCGTCACCTCCGTCACCGCAGCTTTCCTCTACCACGCATTCCTCTTCTTATCAGAGTAAAGGGCATCAAGATGAGGTCTCAAAAGTACGCCCCAACGAGCGACCCCAACGAGACCGACCTGAGCATGTTCGATGCCTCCCTGTTGCACTCGAGCCTCCTGGAGTTCCTCTACGGGGCCCACGTGTACATCTTGGGGCACTCGAAGATCCTCAACGGGGCCCTCCTGAGCGCCCTCGACCTCCTGAAGTTCTTCAACAGGGCCCACCTGTACACCTTGGGCCACGAAGAGCCTCAACGGGCGCTGGCTAAGCGCCCTCGGCCTCCTGAAGTTCCTCGACGGGGCCCCCCTCGTAAAGCCTTCCTCGAGATCTTCGCGGGTGCTGCAAATCTCAGTGGTGCGTTGCATGAGCGAGGTTTTCGGATCATGCCCCCGATGGACTCCAAGTATGGGCCCCACTGTGACCTCACGAGCCGTCGAGTCCAGCGTCTCGTTGAACATTGGCTCAAATCGGGAGAAGTCTGGTGGGTCCACCTGGGCCTGCCTTGTACGAGGTGGGTGCCCGTCGGGGGCACGCGCGATCCATCGCCGGCAGACCGCGCGCTCGTGGCGTTCACAGTCCGTGTCTTGCGACTCTGCCGGACCCTCGGGATCTTCGTCACCTTCGAGAACCCGCCTGCGAGCCGAGTCTGGAAGTGGCCCGCGTTGCAGCGCGAGCTGCAGCGCCTTGCCTGGCCGAAGGTGCTGTTCGACTCGTGCAGGTTCGGCGCGCCCTTCAAGAAGCCAGGTGCGATCGCCGGGAGCCTTCCCGGGCTGGGTCATCTTGCACTGCGCTGCTGCTGCGCTTGCCGCCACAGGGTCGAGCTGCAGGGCAAGGTCCGGCATCCGACGCGAGGTTGGACGTGGCGTACGACTTTGGCCGGTGCTTACCTACCCAGCTGGTGCCGCCTGCTGGTCTCGTTGGCCGGCCCAGACGCCCCTCGGAGTGCTTTCGGGCGCTCGACCCAGGATGACCTCCAGGCTCGGGCTCACGCGCTGGCAAGCGCGGCCGGGGTCGCCGAGCCTCGCGGAGTCACGGCGCCGATCTGCCCGCAGCGCTTTCGGCTCCCCTGGAGGCCAGGGTGGGCCACCGCGCTCGACCCGCGCCCGCGCAGCCGCTGACGTGGCGGTTGCACCAGCGCCGGCGCAGCCGCGGTCGCGCTGGCAGCCGCGGGCAACGCCTGGCGTCGACGCCCGCGAGGCAGCCGTCGAGGCAGACGCCGACTCAGCCGTGCTGACGCCCAGGCGCGCAGGCCGGGGCCAACGTGACCCTGTCCCCCGTCCAGTGGCCGTGGCCGCCTGGCGCCGCCGAGCGCAGGCTGCCGCGCGCGGAGACGTCGCTGCTAGTCAGCGACAGGCCGCCCCTGGAGAGTACCTCCGCCTGGCCTCGCTGCGGCCAGCCACGGTCGACAGCTACGCGTCCGCCGTGATCGAGCTGACCGACTACGCCAATCGCCGGGGCCTGCTGCTGACCACGCCGGAGCTGGCAGACGAGACGCTCAACTTGTACTTCGAAGACTTGTTCTTTGCAGGTGAGCCCCAGTACTTGGCTCGAAACGCGCTGTATGGGCTCTGCAAAGTTCGAGGATGGTCTGCTAGCCGACCTCGTTTCCATCAGGCCAAAGATGCTCTGACTGGCTGGGCGGCAAAACTGCCGGCTACGCCGCGAGAGCCGCCACCGTTCGAGGCCGTCCAACTGACCTGTGCTGTGCTCGACAACGGGACCACGTCCGACCTGCTGGCGTGCCTGGCTGCCGTGACCGGGTTCGACATGTACTTCCGGCCTGGCGAGCTGCTCGCCATCAAGCCGGAGCACGTCTTCGGCTCTCGTACGTCAGGCCGGGCTTCTGACATTACCGTCGTCGTAGCGCCGCTAGGCGACGACAAGCCAGCCAAGAACAAAGATTTCGACTGCACGGTGAAGGCCGGCACTGACCTGCCTGTTCGCCGAATTGTTCCCGAGATTCTCTCTAGGCTGCGAGCCCGTGCCAGACGTTCGAAGCTGCCAACTCTGTTCCACCCTCTTTCCCTTCCTCTGTTTGAAAAGACTTTGAAGCAGGCCGCCCACTCGGCAGGAGTTGGTGATCTCCTGTCAGTTCCTCACCAGTTGCGCCACGGAGGGCCCTCGCACGACGCTCTGAACAGTATCCGACCGATCGAGGCCATCCAGCAGCGCGGGCGCTGGCGCGCCCGAGAGAGTGTTCGCATATATGAAAAGCACGGGTCTGCCCTTCGTCAGAGGTCGAAGCTCACCGAACTGCAGATCTCGTCAGCTGCCCGTTTTACTGACTCGACAGTTCGTGACATCCTCAGGCGCGTGTGCGCCACCTAGTCTTGTCTCTTCGCCCCAGCCTCGGACCTGTGCAGTGATAATGATTTAAACCCACCCGCCCTCCCAAAGGGCATTTGACGATGGGGATGGGACGCAAATGTACTGTGTGTGTGTGTGTGTGTGTGTGTGTGTGGCAATTTTTGGTGATTGCACTTAGCCGCAGAAGTGGTTCCACTTCCCCGGCTCGAGTTTTTAGAGTACCACCGTGTGTCCCACGGCGCTTGCCTGATGAAAAAAGGTTGATGATCCCTCGTCTCTCGGTTTAATCTGTGCGCTGTCGCTGTTTCCGCAGACCCCATGGGGTGGCCACGCCCTTATGATAGGAATGATTTGTCTCTGACTCGTTTTCCTAAGTGCGAGTGGCCTCGGGAGTTTCAGAGCAGTGGAGCCGCGTCCGTCTCGTTCGCTGCTCCTGCTGCTGCTCTCTCCCTCTGCTCCGAAACCGCTCCTGCTCAAGCTCCCACCCGCCGTCCCCCACACACCACGCAAATGTACTGTGTGTGTGTGTGTGTGTGTGTTTTTGGTGATTGCACTTAGCACGCAGAGAAGTGGTTCCACTTCCCCGGCTCGAGTTTTTAGAGTACCACCGTGTGTCCCACGGCGCTTGCCTGATGAAAAAAGGTTGATGATCCCTCGTCTCTCGGTTTAATCTGTGCGCTGTCGCTGTTTCCGCAGACCCCATGGGGTGGCCACGCCCTTATGATAGGAATTAAAATTGATAGATTTGGAACTTTGGATTTTTCCTTTCTTCGTCCTCTTCTTATTATCCTCTTCTTCTTCTTTCTTATTATTTTTCTACTGTATTCTTCTTCTTTTATATTTCTCTCTGTCCCCACGCTCGCCTGAACTTTTTTTTATCTCTGGGGTTGATTATCCATGGAAATTGAGGCACATGAGCTACCCTACACGAGCACTTACAAAAAACAGATTTCATGAGAGATAAGCCATTGTTGAGGATATTTCTATGAAAACTAAACGCCAAGGATGTCTCAACACGTGCTCGGCTTGGTCTCCTCTTGATCATCTCTTACTTCCAGATTATGCTGAGGTCAGCGGGGCTACTTTTATTATCTCTCCCTGAACCCCGAACTTTATTATCCCCTAGTGTTTATTCTCACGGGCATGAGGTTAGTGTTGTTCTTCTTTACTGCTTCGAGGACATCAGACATCCTGTTGCAGTCAGAGCCGGAGGGGACAGACTTTGAGTGGATGTGTCCTCATCCCCCCGCCCTGACTGTTGTTCTCGGGCCCGTCCAGCCGAGACTCCCTGGCTGCCTCCAGGGCAGAACCGCCAGGCATGGCAAGGGCAGCATATGAGGACGGGGACCGACCGAGGGAGGAAAGGAACGAGGGGCGTCAGTCACCACCCACCAAACCACCCCAACCCAACCCGAAGCCTTCAATTTGCCCTCCATTTCCAGTGGGGGGGGGTCGGGGAACGTTGAAAAAAACACATGGAACCCGTACCCCCCCAACCCGAAATTGGGGTCAAATTCGGGTCCTCGGGTCGGGTTGGGGTGATCTGGTAGGTAGTCAGTCAGAGAGGGAGGTGGGGCAGGGAGCCGTAAGGTTGAGGATGCAGAGCGGATGCAGGAAGCTCTCTCTGGTGCGAGTTGTGAGCTCTGGGCGCTCTGGGTCTGGGCTGGGTCGTCGTGAGCTTCACGATGTCATGACCTCAAAATCAGTATGTTCCACCGCGCGTGCGACTGCCACCAGCGGCCGTGCGAAAGAGGGGCACGTGTGAGGGGGCAGGGTACCCCGAGCACATCAGAACGGACGGAGCTCCGCAGGGCTGGCCAGGGATCTGCCCCCTGAGGAGAAGCTCCAACCAAGCCTGGATCGCACCCTCCTCTTTGGTCTGGCTCGGCTTTCCCTCTTCTCAATGGGGGACGCGGTCAGGGCTCCCAACGGAGCGGTAGCCGGGCGGTGCCCGTGCACGGGAGGCTCCAGTCTCTTCCTGCGCCCCCCTGCCTCCTCCTCCCCCCTCCTCCGCTTCTCGCTTCACCTTGTCCTCGGCGTCGTCGTCCTCCTCCTCCTCCTCCTCCTGCTCCTCCGCCTGCTCCTCCTCCTCCTCCTCCTCCTCCTCCTCCTCCTCCTCCTCCTCCGCCTCCCCCCTTCCTTCTCCTTCTCCTTCTTCTCCTCCTCCTCCTCCTCCTCCTCCATCCTTCTCCTTCTCTTCTTCCTCCTCCTCTGCCTCCTCCTCCTCCTCCTCCTGCTCTTCCTCCCTCACTGCCTCCCCCTCCTCCTCCTTCTCCTCCTCCTCCGGTCCTTTTTCTTGTAAATAATTTCCCCCTGTCGCACCCCGAGGTCAGTTTTCAGGGCGGTCCAGGCGTTTCGCCTGAGACTTCCTCACCAGTTATGATTCTGAAGCTGAACACTTGGCAACAGTTCCACAGATGGAGGGCGCTTGGCTTTCAAATTGCTCTGGCCTTAGGGCGGCGCACATTCGTTTTAAACCATTGCAAGAGCTTCACGGATTGAGGGCGACCTGTTTTCAAATTGTGGCTCTCGCCTTAGCGCGGCGCACGTTCGTTTTAAACATTTGCAAGAGTTCCACGGATTGAGGGCGGGCCCTTTTAAAAATGTGGCTCTCGTCTTTTGTGCCGCGCACATTCGTTCACAACATTTGCAAGAGTTTCATGGGTTCGCATCACCAGCGTAGCAGAAATGGTGTTTTGGAAGGGTTCAGGATTTTGCGGGTGCAGCAAATACGTTGATCCGCTGTGTTGAAGTTCCAGGAATGGCGTTCTGGCACGATTCAGGATCGTCACGTCAAGACGCAATAGTCAGGTTGATCCGTGGCGTTGGAATCCCGAGAACATTGTTTTGACATGCTTCAGCAGGGTCTTCAAACGGTTGTCTTCCAACGAGGCAGTTCCCTCAATGAGCATGAAACGTATAGGGGCCTA